CTAGTGGTGCAGTGTTTAAGTTCCTGGTTGCTAACCAAAAAGTTCATGACCCTAAGCTACCAGCCACCCTAGGAGAAAGATATGGCAGTCTGCTTTTGTAAAGATTTACAGCCTTGAAAATCCTATGGGTTAGTTCAACTCTGTCCTATAGGGTCTGTATGAGTTGGAATCAACTTGATGGCCATGAATTTGGTTTGATCTGGACATCATGACAAAATTCACTGGACAGTAGGTCAGGTCTATCCCTCTTATCTGAGCTAACCCTTTCCCCTTCATTCTACTCTCCACCACTCCTTACGGTCTGTTAAAATCGGTAGACAAAGGTTAGGTTAATCTTGGCCCTGGTGTTGTTTCTTCTTTAGTAGTCTTAACAAGAAATTAAAATATTACGTATTCATATCTTTTTTTTTTTCTAAATCCAGTTCAATTTACTGATTTATGATACCTACCTGCTCTGATAAGCACATGAGTTTGTGATTCTGACTCTGAAGATTGTGATTACTCAATATTTTACCATATAAATACTTTAGATGAAAATTTTGTTTAGAAGTAAATATGTACATAACCAAACTCACTGCCGATGAATCTGTTTGCCTCATAGTGACCCCTCCTTGGGTTTCTGAGGGGTATCTCTACAGAAGTAGATTGCCCAGTCTTCCTTCCAAGGAGGTGGCTGGTGGGATTGAACTGCCAGTCTTTTGGTTAGCAGTCAAATGCCTTAGGCACTATACCACCAGAGCTCCCAAATATGTACATATATGCATATATACATACACATAGAGAGAGAACAAGCAAATCTGTGGTGTTTCTGTGGTAGAATTTTTGCCTTCCATGTGGGAGACCTAGGTACAATTCTCTCACTTTGAGAGAGCCAGATTTAATCCATACAAAGCTAGAATGCAACCTCCAATTTCCAGTCTACATAGTAACAAAAAACATTTTTGAGTCTTGAACTTTCCAATTTCTATATTTAGCTTAGTAAAACTTTTTTTTTTTTTTTTTCAATTTTTCTTTTGTGATTGAGGATATTTCAGTAATTTAGGACAATACACCTCATGGGCAGCTACTATCCATGTGTCAGTGAAGGCTCATATGGTGCTAAGGTCCTGGACAGGTATCAGCAGAGCTTTCAGACTAAGCCAGACTAGAAAGAAAGGACTAGCTATCTATATTTGACATGCAGCCGATTAAAATCCTACGGATCATAGCAGTTCAATCCACAATCGATCAAGGGGATCATGCAGGACTGAAGAGTATTTGGTTACATTGTATAGGGCGTCGCTATGATTCAGGGGACAATTCAATGGTAATGAGGCAGAGACTGAGAAAGAGAGAGATTTGAACTGGGTTTTCTTTGACACACTCTTTGCTGTTTCAGACTTACCAACCCTGACTTGTGAATTGTCTTGTCTTTCAGATGGAACACCGTTTACGTGGTGGATTGGGCGGTCAAATGAAAGCCATCTTTACTGGGGTGGCTCTCCTCCTGGAGTTCAGCAGTGTGAATGTGGCCTGGATGAGAGCTGCCTGGACATCCAACACTTTTGCAATTGCGATGCTGACAAGGATGAATGGTAATGGGATTTGTGAGCTTTTTTGCAGTTGTGGAGGAAGCACATTAGTTCAGGCATAGTGTTTCCCCAAAGATAAAAGGACATGGATGAGAAATTCAATATGAGCTAGGGGTCTCTGATGGTTGTGATTTTTTTTAAACTTTAAAAATTTTTAGTTCTGATATTTTTAGAGCTATGACTGAGGTTTCTAATATGAAAGCAAGTTGTCTCACCATCACCTCCTTATATTCTGAAGATTCCATTTTAAACAACAAATGGGATATACTACCAGCTTTGCAACTTAGTATTTCTACAATGTCGGCAATATAAATTTGAGTATAGGGAGAGTGGAGATAGGGGTGTGTAATTATACAGATAATTTCTTCATTCTCACATTTCCCCCTTTAGTTTTATCACTGGCCTTTTCTTACTGCCGATAAAAAATATTGCAATGGGAATTCAGAGTATGGAGCATCTATTTAAATCTCAGGAGCTCTGGTCGCATAGTGCCTAAAGCATTTGACTGCTAAACAGAAGGCTGGTAGTTCAAACCCACCAGCCACTCCTTGGAAGGAAGATTGGGCAATCTATTTCCATAGTGATACCACCTTGCAAACTCAAGGAGGGGTCACTATGAGTTGGATCTGACTCCACGGCAGTGAGTTTGGTTTTTTTTGGTTTTTATTTAAATCTCAACATTACCCTTTAATTACTATACTTCTCCCACTTTGACATCTTATGGTTGAAGAATATAAATTATAGATATATTCAGTAATTTTACCTAAGTCATACATGTCTAATAAGTAATAGACCTAGAATTTGAACTCAGGCACATCTGAGACAACCATCTCTCTTAGACCAAGTTACTTCTCTAAAATAAAATTTGAAGTTCACATGTCCATTACATCTATTATCCCTTTGTCTTCCAGGTGAACTGCTTATTTTTCACTCTATTGATCCTGAAAATACACACAGAACATTTCCAAAGACACTTTTGTTTTGACTAAATTCAAGCTCTTTACTTTTGACTTGTAATTTTGCTTGCTTCATCAAATGCTACTCCATTGTAATTAAGAATTTCTATGTCAAGTAGCTTAATCCAATTGAAATTCCTTTTAAGTGTGTTTCTTTACTATTCAAATCAATAATAACAGAGGCTATTTCAAAGGAAGTTTAAGGTTAAGACGAAATCTCTGTTCAGGGAGGAAAGGATGAAACATTTAGTTCCATCAAGTTCCACTAGATTGACTATTTCTCCAGAACACCACATAGTTGCATAGGCCCCAAGGCAAGTTAAATGGGTGCTTTCTCCTAACTTCTTACTTTCCATATGGGTAAAATCATATGAATGAGACTGGAGGTAGAAAAGGCTTTTGCATTATTTGGGTGCCTCCTTTGCCCTGTAGAGATATCTATCATAGCATTTTGGATGCCAAAAAACAAATATGATGTCTATAGTGAATATAGATCATGTCCCTTTTAACATTATACCCCTCAAAGTCTACTATTCCTGTGAAGTAGGTCCTTGGTAGTAGTTAGCTAAGTAGATGAATTCAGAAAATCTTTGAATTGGAGGAATCATAAGAAAATGGAATGCACAAGCTTGAGAGGTATGAGTGGAAAGGTTAAGCAACTGTGTCACCAAGAAATCACATTGAGAATCCTTTACTCTCAACAGCTAAGGTTCATTCATTTATTTGATTAATTAAATCACCTTCTCTGTGCAAGATGTTAAAGATTATTTGTGGATTTACAGATGTGAATAGAAGCACCTTTATTTCCCTCTGTATATCAGCCAAGCTGAAATAGGAGGCATAGAATGTAAAGTAAAAGTTTTCGAAAAAGGAGAACATTTTTCATAGTTGTATTCAATTCTAACTCCATTCTTGCCTGAGTTCTTGATCTTTGCTCATTGTTTCATTTTCTATGGATGTGACCTCTTTCTGTATACATCTGCCCACTGGATATGGCTTCAGTGCCTTTCTTCCCTTGAGAACATCCAATCAAGGATTAATTTACTAACTGTTGAGGGGCAGTAGGGTCAAATGACATTACACCAGTTATAAATAGAAAGTGAGACTATTAGGTTCAGGTGGCTTTTCCAACCCCTTCTTCAGGACAGTCCACTGACTGTCTCTTCAATTTAGATTTTAGCCTTTCACCTTCCTCTCTCCCTCCCTTAAACTATTCATTGATTCATAAGTCACTGAGCCCTCTAAATGTTGCTTTAACTTCATTATCTAGGCTGTTTCAAAGGACATTTTCAGGGAATCCTTTCCCTCACCCACAAACCCAACATTTCTACTCTCTTTTTAGTAATTGCCTATCTCACGACCTTTTCCATTTCCTATAAAACCAGGCTAAAGGTCCCATCCCCTGCCACTTTCTGTGGCAAGTGACCTCTATTAGGATGTCAGAACTTAGTATTAGATGTAGGTCTTGCAGAGATCATGGGAAAGGAAAGAAACTTCTTTCCTTGCTAATGATGCTTACTTAACTCATAAGTGCCTTAGGATAACACATTGACCATCTTATGGCAAAATCCAGGTGAGAGGAGGCCAGGAAGTACGTTCTATCAATCTCTTGAAAGAATGGAGATCAATTCTGATTTAACTCTTCTGGATTTCATGCTTTGTCATTGGCAACTCATATGTTAGTGATAAATAATTTTGAAATGTAATTTTTTATGGAAGCAACCAAATGACATTTATTCATTCATCACATGTTTACCAAGCACTACTTTGTGCCAGACAGGCAGTCTGCCCTGCATACAAAATCAGGGCATCACTGTCCCTGCCCCCGAGGAGCCCAAGAACAGAGGAGAAATAACACTAGTATGTTAGCAATAATTTCATCAGTGCAATAAATTTGATAATAGAGGTAAGTGGGAGTGTGCCTGAATCTAGGATGTATATAAGACAGGGAAATTAGAATTAAAAGAAAAGCTGGAGTTAAACTAAGTTCTGAAGGACAAGAAGAAGTTGGATAAAATAATAAACAATTTAGATAAATACAGGTTACAGGAACGTCTATGTGCTCAGACAGGGAAGTTTAGAATAATATGAAAATCACAACTTCTAAAAATAAGAGCAGTTTTGTGTGGTTGTTCCCCAGTTTCAATGTGAGGAATTTGCAGATGATTTCAGAAAGGAAAGTTGAATCTAGATCATGAAGATCCTTGTATGCTGAACTGCAGTTAAAGATCTTTGTATATATGTATCAGAGTTTCAAATGTACAATAAACTTTCAGACACAGAACCTGGAAGAATCTTGTGGAAAGGCATTCATGATTTGTCTGTTCAACTGTGTAATTTGCTGCAGAAGGGACAACTATAGATATAGACACAATTGTGAAATAGCTAATCACATTCTTGAACATTCTTCCACTTTCATCTTGTCCAACATGAGTTCCAACTGACTCTCCATACATGTCACAAATTTGTTTCATGCAACCACGCCCCTTTTGGTCTCATCAATATTCTGGGTGCTCCCAAGAAATACCAAATATTTTTCTCATAAAATTCCCTTGAGTTTCTGTTCCTGATTAAAGTTAATCAGAAAACTGATTGGGCTGACATAGCATCTAGAGGATTAACATTTTGATATATTATGCCTTCTAGATGATACAGTCTCTTAAAAATGTTACCTCTCATGTACTAAATATCCCTAGTACTTTATATACTACATTCCATATAAATATCCCAGCACCCTTAAGGTTGGTTTTATTATCTGCTTTCCCACAAAAAGGAAATTGAAGTTCTGAGATGTTAAGTGGTTTCATTAAGTTCACCCCACTAAGGTTGAATCCAGGGATGTTCTTGTTGCTCACATCAAAAACGGTACTAAGGTTGGAATTTTGAAGAACCATGACCAGCTAGTGAAGGTACCAGGGAGCACATCTTCCAAGGTGTCTCATATCACAACATTGCCTTGTTTATATTTCCTTTTGCTAAGTCAAGCTTCTTGGAGAGTGTGGAGCATCTCACATGCCTCTGGGAATGGATAATATTTTGTTTTGTTTAATAAACTCTGTAATTGAATAACTATCATATATTTCAAGTAAATCAGGAAAATCAATATGTATTATTGGGGTAGGTTAGAGTGAGACAGTGTACAAGGTCAAGGCAGATGGGAGAGAAATAAAAGTAACTCAAAGAATACCAAAGGCATACACACACACACACACACACACACATTTTTTTCTACAATAAAGGGAAGCTTTATATTTGTATATTTGTATCTGAACCAAATATACTATAGCACTGACATTTGAGGGATTTCTAGCTCAACCAAGATAATGAACAGGAAAATAAAACAGGGATAGACAAAGAAATTTCTAACAAATGACAAAATCACTCACTGTTAATGGCTGTTTACAAATGACTTTAAGTTAATGACCCAACCTATGTGAAATCCCCACTGAGTGTTTTCTGACCCTGGTAGTTTAGGCAGATGTGCTATTGAGAGTAGAAGAGAAATTTCTGATTTCAGCTCTATTTTACAGTCCCTGTAGATAGTAAAGATGAGTATTGGTCTTTCTGGGAGGTAGAAGATAGTTATCCAGGTCAAGAGAGTTAAAAAAAAAAAGAATGGTGCAGGGCAGAGAATTGAAGAAGGCAGGGAGAATGGCTAAAGCATACCTCTTGATTGTGACCCAGGCTCAAATGAAGACTGTTATCCAAACAACCAGATTGAACTAGTGTGACACTCTCTTGCTTAACATAGAATATTATTTTATTTGATTTCAGATAAAAGTGCAGATCTTTTAATTTTATTTTTAGTAACTCTGCTCTTTGTCTCTATCCCTTGGTATATAGAGTATTTTATACCTGTACATTTTATATCCTAGTGTAAAATGAATGGGAGCTCTGGCAGCATAATGCCTAAGGCAGTTGACTGCTAACCAGGAGGCTGGCAGTTCAAACCCACCAGCCACTCCTTGGAAGGAAGGTTGGACAATCTACTTCCGTAGTGATACTGCCTCAGAAACCCAAGGAGGGATCACTATGGGTCAGGTCCAA